ATAACATGTCCAAGGTATGTGAGATGAAGTCTTGCCATCCTCACTTCTAAGGAGCACTCTGGCTGTACTTCTTCCAAGACAGATTTCTTTGTTCTTCTGGCAGTCCATGGTATATTCAGTATCTTTCTCCAACACTATAATTCAAATGCATCAATTCTTCGGTCTTGCTTATTCATTAATATGTTGACTTTACTAACGTAAGGGTGGATGGTGAGAAGCCCTACTATTACATCTGAATTGGGGTTGGAAAGAGCTACGTATGAAGTATCATTTTCTTTATTTTGAAAACTGACCAGAGAGATTTTTTTCCCCCCCGTTTCTTGTATTCCTCATGAAAATTGCAGAAAATAAAACACTTCATACCTAGTTGCAACTTGTGAGAAAACGATAGTAGCGATAAGGAAAACATCAGGATAAATGTTGTCTGCCTGCTTAGCAAGCCATTCCTATCATAATCCCAATAAAAACTTTCTAAATTCATCTCAGTTTTAACTCTTCATACTTATTGTATTTTGAAGATTGCTCATAATATGTTTTTAATGTCTGATGGAAAAAATGCTAATGTTTCTTCACACACTTATAGGAGGAATTTCCTTTTTGGTGACATATATCATTTTGGTAGCAATTTCCCATCATCACTTTTTTCCTTCTAATACCTGTATCATACTTCTGGCAAAAAGCCATGAAGACAATTCATTTTGTAAACTTATGTATGAAATCATAACTTGCTTTTAACTATTGAGGCTTACTTTGTTTTAGAAATTATTTGATAGATATTTAAACAATTATTTTCTAGCCCAACCACAGTCCTCTTTTATATATAGGATATGAATATGCTTTCCCTCCTTAAAATAGTTTCCCTCTTACTGAGAAACTAAAGTGCAAATACTTCACCTTGGTGTTTAAGACTTGACAATGGCTCCAATCCAATGTGATGCTCAGCCAATCATGATCTGTCACACTATACTAGATTATTTGAAGTTTTCAGGCTGACCTATACCTTCTCTCACTTGGATCATGCTTTTCCCTAGACCTAGAATTCCTTTCTTCCATTGCTTCCCCCTTCTTTAACCTCTAAACCCCAAAACTTCCCTCTCCACGAAACTCTCCCCTAGCCACACAGAGGGAGTTAACTGCCCTTTCTGTGCTCCGAGAACTTTGTCCACAATTCTTTTACTGCATCGACTGTAGATGTTTTGTTCACGAGTTAAGGGCAAGCTCTGTCTTTCATCTTTAGCGATCTCTTTATTGGTCACTTTTCTGCGTACGGTAAGTTCTCAGATGATGATTTTTGAATTGCAATGCTAAAAACTAGGTGGGTTATTTTGTTCTTCCCATGAGCAGCTGAATTTTAAATAATGTAAAAACAAACATGATGATAAAAAGGTACTGAGAAACAACCACCAAAACTACCTTGTGGATAATGGATAGTGGGACGGGGTTGGGCCTTAGTCAGGTAAGAACTCAGAGGCAGAAAATGTGGTTCGTCATCATGTTCTGCCTTTTTTCTGGAATGCTGAGTATAAGAAATTGTGTTATACAGGAATAAATAAGAAAGTAATAAGTATGTTCCAAAGCTATATTTGTATCAGGACTTCCAATCGGTTCATTCCAGTTCAATGCCCTGCTCAGACTTTGCATTTCCACACCAGATATACTGAATCAGAATCTACATTTTAACAAGATCCCCATGTAATTCTTATGTATCTTCTTAATATGTAGATTCTGATTCAGTATATCTGGGGGTGGAAACGAAAATTCTCAGCAGGGGGTCAAATCAGAATGAACCGGTTTGAAGTTCTGATTTGAATACTATTCATATTTAGCCTAAGTTATCTCCTTTATACCCGGAAATGCAGATTTCTACAGGGCTCTGATCCACACGTTTAGTATTTTTATAGTATATCAACCCTCATGGACAGTATCTTGGAAGGGTAGGAAAGAAAAATCCACTCGGTTTTTTTCTGAGTATTTCAAATTTCATCATAAAATCACTTGATGATTGTTCAAGGTTTAGGAATTTCCTTAAGTCTTTGGAACCATGCTCAGGTCAAAGAGTAGCTGCTGCTGAGAAAAGTTTTCCTGTTTCTCTTTGAAAGAAACCCTCATTTCAGGGCATCCTGTAACAGACCTGAGTCTTCTGGAGATATGGGCCTGGCTCTCGAAAGCCCAAGTAGGACCATTTCAGATGAAGGTTTCTCTACTGGCCTTTCCATTAGTTTGCACACATGATTAGGTGGTGGGTTATCTGCCTCATAGCTGTCATTACACTATATTTATCTTCAAATACTTTTGGCTTGGCTGCTTTGGCAGGTGAATGGAATGTCTCAAGGCTCAATAATCCTACCTGCAGCAGATCATCCTAAGTTCTGTTACCTGTGCCACGTTCTACCCTCTTGACTTATAACTGAAACTACATGTGGCTGGTGTGACAGAATAGTCCCAGCCCAATGCAAGTTTTAGCATTTGTCTTAGCATGCTCTCCTCATCCCCACGCTTACAGCACACATTGAAGAGAGTTAATATTTTTATCAATGATTGTACAGAGGATGAAAAATTTAAATTACTTTAAATAATTAGGAAATAATTTCAATAATTGACATATGGTATTTTAATTTAGAAAGAAGTCATCTCTCTGAAGAAATGTTATCCACGTTGGCCTGCTGCATTTTACTTATACTTTGTAAATGTTTAGTAAAATAATGGTACATAGAAGAAAGGACACTGACTTTGGAGTTTGGAGTTCTTTCTCAGTTCTGCCATTTACTAGCAGCTCTGTGGCATTGGGCAAGCAACTTAAACTCCCTTAGCCTCAATGTCTTAATCCATAAAATAGGAATTTTATCATTCTTGAGCTACCTAACACCCAAGATGGTTATAAGGATCAGGTGAGATGATGTACTTACATGAGAGAGATTTGAAAAATACAAAACACTGGAAGTCTATATTCTACAAACTCCATAGTATTCACTTTCATTTCTCACTTTCTCATTTTCAGCCTATTTGATTGAATTGAGCTCAAGAGGAATTACAGATCATCTCTTTGGCAGCCTTTGGGAATTAGCCTGGGTAGTAACTGGTGCTCTGGCCTAAGAACATCTTTCTCATGAAGTCTCTACTTGCCATATAGTGTTCCCTTTGCTGGGCTCTAGGGTGACCTTTAATTGCTACCTCTTTGAGTTACAACTCAATTCTTTGTAGTCAGCATCAGAATTAATGGTTAGTAGGAAGGTAAGTGGGAGGAAATCCCAGAAGCAGACAAGATAAAAGGAGTTCCTGATAACTGGAGCATTGAAAGCAGACAGCTGGGAATGCCTTGGCAGAGCAGAGCACAGGGCCAAGAAAGCCACATAGCAGGCAGTACACGGAGGTACCCAGAGGTGGAGCTGGCATCACAAAAGTCAGAGAATAGGACTGGAGACCTGACCAAAGCTCTGGGGTTCAGGAGGCCCAGAACCAGACTCCACAAGGATTCAGACACAGCATAATGACACAGGCCCACTTACTGGATCTTGGACACCAGACAGCAGTTTCATCCCAAAGAACAAGCCAAAAGTCTGGTAGCCAGGACTGAATTAAAAGGTCACTGAAGACCTGAATAGTAAGAGGGGATATTTGAGCTGACAATAGGTAGATCAGGAGCCCCACCAAGAAGAATGAGAGAAAAGTTGTGGGTTAGAGATAGGAACTAGGTCTGTTGATATATTGAATGCCATTCCCTATTTCTATAGAACACACTTCCTTTCCTCCTCTAAAGTCATGTATTAACCTAATAAAATCTGTGAAGGGCTGAATTCAGATTCTAAAAATCTTACCTTTTTTTCCCCCCTTCACAGTACATGCCAAAGTTCTTATTTTCTCTACTAGCACTTCCTTATTCATAGTCGTTGGTGCTGCTATAACTCCAAAAGTTAGTCATTTCTTATTCACATTTTTGAAAATAATTTTTGAAAGAACTGGTTTTGCAATTTTTCCTGTATTTCTTTTTCAGGTTTTCTATTTTTTTTCCTCAAAATTATTTTGCTAAGTTTCCTTATTTCCAGACAAAACTCCATTTCTGTGAACTTACTGCTAAATTCACACTCTCCAGCTGCCACCAGGTGTCACAACGTTCTCACCTCACAACTTTCGTTTTGCGGTTTTCAGCACCCACCGAAGCACTGAAAGGCGGCCTCTTATTAAAGGCTGAAACTGCAAACCCACAGCCCTGAAGCGACAGTTTTTTATCGGTGCCCAGTTCTTGTACAGCAAGGACTCTGCTTTCACGAATAGCATTGTGATGTCTGTTTCTATCCAGTGGGACAATTCTGTACTCTGCAAATGGCTCACGGTAGCTAACAGTTCCTTGCTACATTGTTTACACATCCTGGATAACAGATGCTTTCCCCAGAGGAGAATTAGGCATTTGACAGTTTAAACTTAGAGGAGAAATTAATTTTTTAAACTCCCAAATAAACTTATAAACTTCTTTGATATTTAAGTTATATATATCTATATTTACCCATTTGGCCCATTCTACAGTAATACCCCTTGGCCAACCTTTGGCTATGAAAAATTGATGCACACTATAGAAGTCAATAAATAAAAAACAAAAAACAATTGTAATTACTAAAAAGGAGGAGAAGATCGGTATCTTTTGAAAATCATTTCAACAAGCATAGAAAACACAGAAAGAAATTCTGTTAACCAGAAATCCTCTGAAGCATTCTGATTAACTGGGTTTTGGGAGTATATGTCTTTTTCTGAAAACGTGTTTCAACATAGGTTTCACGTACCTGTTACAGAGAGACGTAAAGGGACTATGTATAAGGACAATGTAATATGAATGTAATAAGGAGGTACTAAGGAATAAATCTAACATACTTCAGGCACACACCTATACAACCATCATACATCCGCTATGCCCATGGGCAACACAGGTCTAAAGCGACGCATGGGGAGTATCTGTCTCTGAGGCACGTGAAGGACTCTCTGGACCCTGCCCAGGGCACATAACTTACCTTGATGGTAGCCAGGACCACCTCCATTACAGCACACTGTCTTGGTGTCAGACCCCTGGCATCGTCTCGAATCATGTGCTCCTGGAACACAGGTTGACAACTGCTTATAAAACAACCAGTTCATTTATTTAACAACTACTTTCAAACAAAATCTGTATAATTCCCACAAACATTTCCTGTTTGAAATACTTTCTTCATATGTCCATTTTAAATAATTATTTTGTCATATATTTCTTAAGTCTCCATTTTGTCAAAAGAAGAAATGCTAAATGTCTACTTAAAGAGCAGTACATTGATACATATGTGGCTTTATTTTCACTTGCAAATTTGTTATGAGAAAAGACAGAAACCTGGAAAATGTGTGTCACATGTTTTTCACCTTCATCCCTCGCTGTATGTTCTGTCAAACTGAGGAAGGTCAGTAGTGGAAGGGATTTAAGGAGTGATCGTTAGCCTCTTCCAACTACTACTGATAAAGTCTACTTTAGATATGACGTCCCCAGTTTATTCTTTCTGGGTTCTCGTAATGCTTAGTCATTACTAGGAAAACCCCAAAGAGTTAACTGTGTTAGACTTTGGAGATTTTCAATATTTTAGAATCTTTTTTCAGTATTTGAGAGCTGATATCAATATTTTACAAAAGAATTGGGCTCCTTGTTCTCTGTGGACTGTTTCAACCCATCCTTCAAAGCTTATTTAGCCAAATAATGGTAGAAAGTTGGAGACTATAATAAAGAAAATAGGAACGTGTCTAAGAGAAAAATTTTTTAAAATTCCTGAGCACCCCTTCCAAGTTGATACAATCTTACCAGGTTTACCACTGTCCTGTTCAGCAACATCCAGCAAACACTTATTGAATGCTTATTATACTGCTGACACTTGCCTAGGTGACTGGGATATATTCTTGAATAAAGGAGATGTTTTTGTCCTCCTAGAGCTTAAACTCTAGCTGCCTTTGTGCGAGTTAGAGGAAAAGCCCCCTCTGGGTGGACACAGCTCTGAGAATGTGTGGCTTGATCAATGCATCAGTGCCTTTGGTCAGTACTAAAAGGTGTCTGTTTTTTCTATGAGGGCACAGCTCTGTGTTAGCACACGTGGCTTTGCAGGTGAGCATGGGCTCGATTTCATCTGCCACTTGCTTATTTAGTGGGGGAATTTTGTGCGGTTTTTGTCCTCTATTCTGGCCCTTTGTTTCTTCTATTCTTCAGTAGATGCCATGGCTTCTGAAGACAACCTCGACGCACGTCTCACTCACTTTAACAGCCTTGCAGTGCGTATCGTGGCAACTGGCCCCTGCTAACACGTAAAATACGTTTTTGGTGATGGAATTGCACTTCCTTCAGCATATCTCACAGGCTTCACTATGCTTGAACGGAATATACACAGGTGAATACTGTTGGAAACAGTGTAATGCTTCATGGACCTGTGATATACCATCTGCATCTTACTGCATCCCACTCTGCTATAGGGATTTTAACTCAAATATGTGAGTATATTTAATATTTTTAATAGGAATATTAAATGCCCATTTGATATTCAAAGAGTGATGGGAAAAGGTTGCTGAATTACAAGGGGAAATGCTTTAGGACAAGTAAACACACAATTTTTTCATATTAAACAACTCTCTCTGGCTTCATCAATCTTGACTGGTTTTGCAATGTGGTCACATTATTTTTTTAAAAGATGCTCATAAATAATGTATGCTGGTGCCATAGACAGACAGAATTCTTGCTAGAAATAATTTCCTGGGATTTAACAACTGCTTGTTCAAATAAGGGAACCTCTAAAAGAGAATGGCAATGAGTTATTCCCCAAGGGAAAGCCTACTTTCAAGGGTCTTTTCATTAATTGGTTTCAATATTATATCACCAGTCCATGAAGATTTATTCATGTTTTTATTTTACTTAATTTCAAATAAGTCTGATCATTAAGTAAAATAAGTTGGGCATAGATATCATTCAGATTAAGGTGTTATTTTACTCACTATTCATTTATTCAAAAATTTCCCCATTAATTTCTTGACTTTTTTTTCCCCAGAAAATCTCCATTAACACTTTGTTTTTTACTAAATTCCTTTTTAGCCTTTCTCAGGCACTAATATATGTTGGCAAACAGCTTATAAACAATTCTATTTGGTAGCTATCAAAAAATTAAAGCAGTTTTTATCACATTACATTCATATCTTATTATGAAGTTCATGCTCCAAGAGTATGAAGTCCTATAGAATATGTCAAACTATGAATAAACACTTGTTTAATGGACGGATCCTTTATCATAGCCAAATGCAGGAAAACAATTATTTCCCCTTCTTGTTCTATTTTCCTCGATCCTGTGTTCTGTTAAGTAAGGCTGTCATCTGCTAATATTTCTGAATTTACGCATCAGTGTAATTATTTTACACAGCACTTTTCCAGCAAATCAAATCTGCCTTCAAACTAATCTCTGAAAGTTTTAAAGACTGAAGATTTAAAGTGAAAAAAATTGTAAGTGACATTCTAATAAAATAAAAACACATAGCTTTGTCAAATTTGGAGTTCTTTATGCCAGATGAATTTTTAATTTTTTGCATAATATTATTGAGCTTTATACTCTGTAATTCAAGTAATAATAGCTAAATGGACTACTAATTCAAAATTTTAAAAAAGGGCCAATAATAGAACAGTATGTATAAAACTGAGTTATTTTTCTACGACCTATGGGATAAAGGATTCTATTTTTAGTCCTTTGGATTATTTCAGTGTTGATGAAGTAACTCTTTAGGACATTATTAATCATAGTTCGTTCTTAGGTTATTACAATTGAAAGAGAATTCACAGAATTTAAGATATTTGGGGATGTAGAAGGCCCTAAAGTGTTATATTTTCAGCAGATTGTGATTTTTCCCACTCAGTATGCATAAATCCTCTGGGGAGCAAGTCCCATCCCACTCATGGTCTACATGATTTGGATGGAGCTGGCTGCACCCCCAGCATAGACATGGGTGTGTGAGTTAAGTTGATTGGCACATTTCATTCCCCAAGCCACAGTGATGGGCTCAGGAAAGAGTGACGTGACTCTGCCAGAGGCAGTGAGGTACCAGTGGACTTTGCTGGATTACTTTGGACTGAGATGGGTACTTTTGTATACAAAATTTGAAGTTGAAAGGACGTAAGATGTACAGCAGCAGCAACCGTCTTTCAAACAGGAAGGAAGGTTTGTTACGGTAATATATCAAAGAAAGAGCAGAGCAGAGTTGGAAGAAGTAACTGAGTCCTGTAACTCTGAGTCCCTAATCAAGCAGTGATGGAAACCAGCATCACCCTGGACTATAAAATTTCATGCAGCAATAAATTCTCTTTCTGCTGATGTTAATTTGGCTTTCTGTCACTTGAAGCTGAAAGAGTTCTAGCTGATAGCAATACCCAACTTCTTTATTTTATAGGAAGCTGACGCCCAGGGAGACGCAGCATCACAGATGCTAAAATCATGGCCAGAACCATTTCTTTTGTAATCAGATACAATGCCATTTCGTCTTCATGGTTTCAAATGAGCAACTTAAACACTGTGTAAATCCACATTTTTCAGATCAGGGGCCAGAAATCCCAGGGAGGCAATAAGAGGGATACAGAAAGGGCTGGAGATCCAAGATTCAAAATAACAGTTTGGAAGTGACATGTACCCTCCCTCCCAAACAACAACAGTGCTGAATACCTGTGGGAGTTAGAAACAATTCCAGATGATGCTTGCAACTTACAGACAGATTATTGGCTTTTTAAGTTTTTCTAAAGAAGAAGATAATATAGATGATAAAACAGGGTACTCAAATGATAGGGCACGTATTTTACCTCAGTAAATAATTACACAGTAGAATTGATTTTCCTTCCCCTGTGTTCTATAAACGAACACATCTCAGTGATACCTAACAGAGCTACCAGCTGGAGGAGAAAGAAAGAGAGCTCCCTCTGGAAGTAGGAGGTGGCAAACTCCTTGGAGTTGCCAAAGATAATGCATACATTAACTCATTTATCATCACAACAATCCTACGAACCAAGTATTAAAATCTTCTGCATTTCACAAATGGAAAAATCTGAAGCTTAGAAGAGTTAAATACCTTGGTTTATGGCACAGTTGGAAGTAGCTGAGGCAGAATTTGAACCAAGTTCATCTGTCTGAAACCCATCCCTTTAACAACGTACTATACTGTATCTTAATAGATGTAAATACAGTAAGAACAACATCCATCTTAGCCATGTTGCTAACCTAGAGGGACAGAGCCTGAGGTTTTTTGCAACACTCCAAAATCTTGAGAATCTCAAGTGGGAATTAAAGGAAAGGTTATTTAGGCAACAAAATGTCCACTTATAATGGGGTTGAACACGTTGTCAAGTTCAAGCCGGCTTTGCTGAGCTTAATTTTCCCACATTAGGTTTCTTGTCTTTAAAACTTCTCTAGACTTCACTGGATTTCTGTGCAGGGTTCCGTTTTGCCTCGGTTCATACAAAGCTAGTTTGTTTTATGAAAGGAAAATTGTTCTTCTTCATGCAGGTTGCCGTCAAGTTGATTCTGACTCAGCAGCTCAGCGTGTGCAGAGCAGAACTGCTCCACAAGGTTTTCAAGGCTGTGACCTTTCAGGAGGAAAGGGAAATATGGTCTCTAATTTACTCCAAAAGCAGTATTGCCAAATGCTACAACACCAGGTTAAAATTCCCATTTCCTTTACCGATGGGAAAATATGGGAAACATGGGGAAAAGGGAAAACAGGAAAATTCTGTCCCTAAATTTTGACCTGTTTCATCTTTAAAGCAGACTGTGAAATCACAGACACACATCTTCTTGTGTGTGCCATGCTAGATGCTATTACCAGTAAGAGCTGTAGTTAGTTCTTTTATTTTCATGGAAAATCAGTAAGTTCTTTATTCTCATTACCTTCAGTTTAGATAATTGTCCGAGATCTTTAGCTGCAATGAAAATCATCTGGGGTCCCTAGAAACACACAGAGGAAAAGAGAGAGACAATCAGACTTAAGATCCTCAGTACTAGGCACAGTAGGAAAGTAGTCCATAGAGAATTTGCTCTGTTTTCCTCACTGTATTTATGACTTTTATGCCAGATGCCCTGACTTGGTCTATTTTAAAGACTGGGTCAAAGTTACCTAGTCGTACTGGCAATACAAAAGTCTGCACGAATGTCCCACTTCTGAAAGGCTTAAGTTTGGGTTGTGAATGGGTTGCTGCTAACTAGCCAGTTCATGTAGCAATGGATTAAGTCAGTGATCTTTAACTTTTACTTATTTTTAGCAGAAGGAACTCCCTCACTCCATACCCCAAAAAGAAAGTCTTAAGTAAAACTTCAGTACATAGCTGAAGAAGGTGGAGGTGCCCCTCCTGAAATCCTGGCCAATCTACCAAGCCCTGCCCTGTTCACCTCTCCCTCAGCCAGAACCCCAAGGCCCTGGTGAAAAGAATTTGACAAACACTGGAATAATCCACTCAGAAGCATAAAAACTGTTGAAATAACAAGTGTCTTGCTAGATATACATATTTACCACAAAAAAGCTACAATAGTCAAAACAGTAATAGCGGATGCTTTTACAAATCAAAAGATGTCCAAAAACAGACCCCTGTATGTAAAATACTTAATATCTGGCAATTTGGGCATCATAAATCACTGGAGGAAATGAATGGTTAGGCAATAAATAGCACGCACTGGAAAAAACAAAAAACAAAAAAACCTTAGAGGCATGTCTGGAGCTGTGTGTGATTGGAAAATTACTAAATTTGGCTAAATTCATCTGTGGCTTAGAATCTTTTCAAAAGTAAGGAAAATCAGTTATTTCTGGGTAATACTCTCCAGTTTTTTAGTGGAGTGTGTCTGTTCGCTGGGAGATGAAAGGCTGCAGGCTTGCAGGAACAACCACCGTGTCTAACTGCTCATCGTTCTATCCCAGCACCTGTCACAGCGTCAGGTACGTGGCAGAAGCTCAAAGAATATTCACTGAACGAATGAATTAATGATATGGGTTCACACTCGAAGATCTAAAGGCTACATAATATCAACATTTAGGTAATGGTAAGCTTTCCTGGGGAAACTTTATATCGAAAATGAACTTTCATATGTAGCGTTTCTTCTGCAACATGATATATGCATTCTTGAAAAACCTCATATTTAAAAAAATCTGCATTGAAAGTAATAGGGCTTATGGGAAAAACAGCAGTGGAGCAGAGCAGTAAAAGCCCATGCAGTTTTGTTACCAAAAAATATAACAAACAGTAATTGCTATGGTGGGAGACGACTCGGACAGCTGGTTGGATCTCAGGGAGACTGATGGCCACCTCAGGGGATGCAAAAAATGCAAAACAAACAGCAAAACAAGGAAGTACAACTGTGGGCGACACAGTGCTGACACACCTGGAGCTACCAGCACAGGGCAGGGCAGCCCGCCAGGTGCGAGCGCCACGCGAGGCGCCTCTCTCTGGGTAGGTAGCTTACCTGTGTGTGTATGTGATTTGGCTACCCGTATATGTGGGCTACGAGTCCCCCTTCATGGCACAAATGGTTGAGCACTTGCTATTAACTGAAAGGTTGGTGGTTTGAATTCATTCAGAGGTGTCTTGGAAGAAAGGCCTGGCAATCTACTTCTGAAAGATCACAGCCACTGAAAACCCCATGGGGTGCAGTTCTACTCTGACACACATGGGGTCGCCATGAATCAGAATTAACTCTACGGCAACAGGTTATTTATTTACTTTTCTGGTTTATACGTAGGTGACAAATAATCCTACCTCACATTCATGGTATTAGGCAAAACTCTAAGGAGTTTATATTTTATCACTGTCTGGCAGTTGGCAGCAAATCAACAAAACACATGCATTTTTGTATCTTGGAACACTTTACAGTAAACATTTTCTATACATATAATTCCAGTGGATAAATACAGATTGAGTGTGCATGATTAATAGTGTCAATCTGTATTTTAGTCGAGTTTATAGTTACTCATTATTTACATCAACTTATGTTTCCCTAGTCACCGAAATACTCCATAACAGGTGTTTACTAGGGTAATTTTACCTGGCCTGGGTGAGGGTGTAGGGGCTCTGGCGGTACAGTTGTTAGCACAGTTGACTGCTAACCGAAAGGTTGGCAGTTCGAAACCCCCAGCAGCTCCATGGGAGAAGGACGTGGCAGTCTGCTTCTGTAGAGATATATACCCTTGGAAACCCTGCGGGGTCACTATGAGCCAGAACCAGCTCGACAGCAGCAGGTCTGGTTTTTGAGTTGGGTCAGGATACGTGAACTGAGATGCTTGGCACTGTGTATCCACTTGACCATGGTCTAACTCTGTTGCCAATCGATCCTTCTGGTTCTTTTTTATTTCACTGTGTGTGATACAATCACATTCTCCAAATCCACTGAAAGGCATCTCTGCTATTAACCTCCAAGTGGGAAGGCAGTGGATGGAAGCAGAATGGAAAAGTGAAAAAACTTCCATAGAGCGGTGCTGAATCTGCTTCCTTAGACTGTAAAATCTAAGAAAGGAACACAACTGGTATATTCTCTGCTAAATCTAGTTCCCTGTGGCCCACAGTAGAATAAAATAAAAAATTATCCATGTAGACCACGTAACCTTACAAAGTGAACTTGGATATATTTTCTCAAGACATGAAGTGGGTGCCAAGCAAGTACTGTTTGATTTGGATCAGAAACTGTCATTTGAGTGGTGATTGTCAAAAAAACCTGTAAACTAAACACTTTGTCCTGAAATTGATTTAATTAGTGGATCAAAACCATTCATTAAAACAAAAACAACCAGATGGGTTATGGAAACTAGAACCAGACCTTAATTAAATACTTACGGTTTGATCATTCAGAGGAGGGAGCACGATTTGATTCTCTATTTTGTTGAGAACTAGCTTCCATAGTTCCTTCAAAACTCGTTTCAGGACTGTTTTCTCACATATTTTTGCTGAAAGACTTAATCTGAAATAAAATAAAGCATGCACTCACTGTTAAATATCGTATCAATATCAACTTATTTTACTGATCAGAAATTGATGTTACTAACATTAGGATTCAAATACCTGACGAGGCCTTCAGAATTTTTAAATGATAAGTCACATTTACTGAAAAACAAAACCAAAAAACTGACAGAATATCAAAAATCTATTGTATCATACAATATATTAGATAATTCACTGTTACTGGTAGAAAATGAATTTGGAGTATTTGTTTCCTTAAATGTTTCCTAAATTGACAGACTTCAGAAAGAAAAAAACCTTTGAAAACACATGAAGTAAATGTTCATTTAAAGGCAGAGGATCCCTCTTTATCCTGATTGAACAGTGATTACACCAAGAGCCATCTCTGAGATCAGTCACCAGGGCTTGACATGGGGGTCGAGAAAACGACCACAGAACCATATTTTTTCTCACCCACCTCATAAGAAGTCCCGGGGCAGAGGGCAGACCACTTACCTGATACAACCAAGCCTCCCAGAGTACACGGTTTCCACCATCACCACCAGCTTGTATTCCCTACGTGCCTCAAGTTCATGGTGCGAGGCCAAACGCCAAAGAACTATATTTTCATTACCACAGGGCACTGAACCCACGTCACATGACTCAGCAGAGACGCATGTCACTTCATTCGAGAATTAGCATTTTCCAACTTTAACAAGTTCCAGGTATTCTTACAAGTTCTTCTCGTGATGAGATAAGCACGGTGACAACATCACATGTATTGCTGCCCGTATTTTCTCATTTATCACCACACCCATTTCAGAGACGTAAACAGGCTCGGAGAGGGTGGGGAACTTGTCCAAGGATGTGAAGCTAGTGACAGTCACGATTCAAATCAGGCTCTTTCCCTCCAGATCCGGCAGGGCTTCCAGCGCCCCATGATGCCCATGATGAACGTGCTGTGCATGTGTTGGAATCCTTTCTACCTTATACCTGTGAAATGTAATCTGGTTTGGGAATAGGGTTTCCTTTGTTATGTTAATAAGGCCATACCAGCGTAGGGCGTGTCCTAAACCAAATCACTTCTGAGTTATAAAAAGAGCAGATTAGAAATAGATGCTCTCACAAACAGGAAGACAGATGCTATGTGAGGATTCTCTACCAGCCAAAAACCAAGGAATGCCTGGGGTTGCAGACAAGGAAGGAATCCGCACCGCCATGACCCTAACTTGGAGTTTCAGCCCCTAGAACTGTGAGAAAGTAAATGTCTGTTCTTTAAAGCCATCCACTTGTGGGACGTATGTTACAGCAGTACTAGGAAGCAAAGACGTGCCACATAAACATTTACTGAATGTACCACAATACGACATCGGACTTTTTACAGAATGTACCATAATATGACATTGGACTTTCTGAGACTCCTTGACCAAGAAGGAATTAAACCTGCTTCACAGAGGATAGGAGCCCTGGTGGCCCAGTGGTTAAGCCCTTGGCTGCTAACCAAAAGGTCAGCAGTTTGAACCCACCAGCAGCTCCATGGGAGAACAGACCTGTCGATCTGCTCCCATAAAGATTACAGCCTTGGAAATGCTATGGGGCAGTTGTACCCTGTCCTATAGGGTCGCTATGAGTTTTGGTTTTGTTTCCGCAGAGGATCTCCAGTGAGTCGTGTATTTCAGGGCAGCCTCAGTGACCGCAGATAGTATTACTAGGTACTTTATGTACTTTTGGATTCAGAAATTATAAAGTGGGCCCTGCTCCTGACGGAGACAGAATTTACTGCTTTTAATCTTCAAAGATATAATAATTAGTATTAATAATTAATATTTAAATATACGTGACATGTGAGAGGCGAAGGGAGGGATTTCCGGAATACATTTTTGTGCAGAAGTATTTCTCCCAACACTACTGAAATCATCCTAGAAATTTCTGAGGAAAGGCTGAGCTGTTCTGCCATGATACGTCTTATTTCTACTCTATGTCCATCTCATGAATATTCACCAGCCAGCTATTAAGGCTCCCTTCAACAATGGTTTCTAAACCAGTGGAGCTGGAGAGTTCCATGAATATGCCTCAGGGGTCCAAAACCCTCCCCTTCATCCAGAGGAGGCCAATTTTTATGCATTCAAAAAAAAAAAAAGAAAAAAAAACCATTGCCGTTGAGTTGATTCTGACTCAGAGCGATCCTATAGGACAGAGTAGAACTGCTCCGTAGGTTTCCAAGGAGCATCTGGTGAATTCGAACTGCTGACCTTTTTAGTTAGCAGCCCTAGCTCTTAACCACTGCACTACTGGGGTTTCCGTTTACATATTAGGTTTCTATATATAAGATGTATCATGACAGAACTGTCACCCTGTCCTCAGAGAGTCTAGGGTGATTTGAGATTTGACAGATCTTCCCATTTTGTTGCAGATGTGTAATTTCCACTTTCAAAATTCCAGTATAAGAATTGATCTTGTTTTTATGGTGAGCTTCTGTACTTGGCATGCTAACTAACTCTGCTTAAAACTTTAAGACCAGGCACAAAATCATTGACACGTTTGCAGTTCTTCATGGGATTTCTGCTAGTTGGAAATGGAGGTTACCGCTCTTTGTTCTATAAAGTGGTGAGGTCTCGGTAGAGTAAGTGAAACATAATAAAATATTTTTTATTTAGAGAGGCTGTACAAAGACAAAGAAAGCCTATACATTTATAATATAACATGATTCCTAAGGGGATTTTCTCAAAACCAGCTTGAAAACAGCCCTCTATTGCGAGTTTTAAATAACAGAAAATAAAGGGGAAATCTAGCAACTGCCTCTTTAATTTAATCAGTTAACTGACTTGACAATGCAAGCTGAAAGGCATCTATTTTGGAACCTGAGCTATCTAGACTGGCTGACCACAGCACCAATGGACCCGACAATTATCAAATGTCAGGTACATTCACTGGCCGTAGAGAGTCCCTGTCATACAGTTAATCTGATTTTCATGAAAATATAACCAGCTGTTTTCCCTCTCCCTGGAATGCCTGTCCTTCATTTCTGTGCCTTCAAATCCTATCCGTCTTTAAACACCAAACCCAAATGAAATTTTTACTGATTCTCTGAAGAGATGATTACTTTACACCTTATTATGTTTATTTGTATACCTTTCTTATCTCTGTTAGCTCCTTCGGAATAGAGTCAATATCTGACTTTTTCCTTTTTTAATCTCTCCTAACCAGTGGCTTTCAATGTGTGCACTCTGTATTAGCTCCGAGAATTTCTTCACGACCCATATCAAATCTCTTTCAAAAAATTTAAAGCTCATAGATTTTTTTTTCTATCTTTATACACTGTGTCTCTCCGGTAAGTATTACAAGAAATGCCATGTATGATGATAAAATAAAGTGCAGTTGCTGTTAGTGGCCACTGAATTGGCCCCCGACTCACAGCAACCCAACACGCAGTGGAACAAAACACTGCCTGGTCCTGTGCCATCCCCATGATCAGTTATGGACTGCTGTGAACCCTGGGGTTTTCACTGGCTGATTTCAGAAGTAATCGAACCCGGTTCTCCTACATGAAAGTCAATTCTACCACTGAATCATCACTGTGCCAAGTGTCATTAGTAGAAAATGAAGACAGTAAAATAAGAATCGAAATGGCACCTAACGACAACAAATGTATTTCAGGGTCAGCCCGCTTTCTCTATTAGTCCTGTTTTGAAGATGGTGAAATGAATTCAAGGTTACTCAGCTAGTAGTTGCCAATGTCGGGATTAATTAAAACTTTCTACATCATACGCCACAAATTTTGCTTATAGTATATACAGAAGCCAGTCTAGTTTGGTCAACGAACCATTTCCAAACTGTGCTTAGAGTCAAAAACAGAGAAGACGGCATTCCAGGGGGAGTTTTAGGAGGATCAGGATTGCCTGGCCCTGCTCTCTGCTAACCATCCCATTCACAACCAAATGCTGGTGTGTTTACAGTGACTCAGTTCTGTACAGTCCAGAGAAAAGAACCACACAATAAGATAAAACTTCTAAGAGATTTTGTAGAAAATTATCTGATAAAAGTATACTTTGAGAAAATAAATGAAAAATTACTTTTCTCCTTCCCTTTCTCTTTTCTTCTTCCTGTTTATTCTTTCTCCTTCTCTTCTTTCTTCCATTTCTTGTCTTCTACATCCATTTGCCAACCTATCTCCTGATAAGCTACCCACTTACCTACTCACTTATCTTACAGAAACTCCCACACAGGGAAAAGAAAGGCTTTACTTTTCTACCAAAAAATGAAATTAAAATTATAAGAACATTAGCGTTACTTGTGTGGTAAGATTAGAGCAAATGGAAATGGAATTTAAGTAGAAATCATAAATATAAATAAGAGGCTCTCCCTACTAATTCTTCTTTGTTGCCCTTATCTTTAAAGGTAGGCATTCTATTCCTCTTATTTATCTTGGTCCCTTTGGAATGAATCTGTCATAACATTATTAAATGAGATAACATATGTAAACTATCAGGCATAACACTAGTCCCTTTGCAGGCATTCAAAATTGTTGTTTACCTTTCTCTTCCACTTTCAGTTCTGGTTTAGGAAATCATGTACCTGTTTGCTTATTGAAATATAGGTGCCTTGACCCTACTCCAAACTTAATGCATTGGAACTGCTGAGGGTAGAGACTGAGGAGAAGCATTAAAAAAACAAAAACCAACTTTCTGACCAAGCACATTTTCTTAGCCTCCATTCCCACACACTCACTTCCTTCCTACACCGTAATCTCTTTGGAGTCAGGGACTTTGACTCTCTTTTTCATCATGGTGCAGCGTCTAGAACAGGGTCTGATACAGGGGCGCGCTCAATAAAATAGTTACAGAAGACTGAATAGGACAGCTTCCTCTTTGCCTCTGAATTAATTCTGGTCACACTTGTGCTCTTCTCTTTCCAGCAATCCTGTGACGTGAAATCAAACACTCTCAAGTCAACTCAGTCTTTCTCTATGTCCTGGAGGATGCAAAACAGTATTTTTTCTGAGGAGCATGAAATCCTAAATTTGTCACCTCCCTCAGAACAGCCACCTCCTCACCTTTCCTGTATGAAGTCACTCCTTTTTCTACCTGTTAATGACTTAAAAGTATTTTGTTTTTTAATGAATTAATATACTTCTGTGAAGTCCTTTTAAAGCTGCATTAAATATCTGTTCTTTAAAGCCTTGCATTGAGGAATGTATGTTTTCCCTTAAAGCCTTATCAGTCACATTTAGGATAGTAAAGGGCAGTTAGACCAATAAGTAGAAAAATGATTAGAAAACTTACGTTTTGTCTAAGAAGTCCATGAGTGGTCTCAATACAATCTCTGCATCCATTGCTGAACTGTTCTTATTACATGTGGTATTTCCGTTTGATCTCATTTGATTTAATTCAAAACTCATTTGTTTTATACACTGTTCAATTATAAGCTGGACACTAAAAACAAGGAATATAAATTCTGGAATCAAAGCAAATATTTATGCCTTCCTTTGCCTAAGTCTGTTTTAATTCCACCCTAGTAAGTATGATCTACTTCAGTGAGTTCTCCCCCAGAGGAATCCAAATTCTTGACCATTTGGCAGTCATCTGGCTGGACTTGCATTTGGACTTCTATCAGGCACTGCTTGGAGGTGGCGGTGGTGGGAATAGTGGAGGAAGTGAGGTAGGGGGTGGTGTTAATGGAAGTGCTTTCTTTTAATAGTGCCCCCGGTGGCGGTACAGACATGGGGCGCTATAAAAGGAAATTAAATAAAATTGGGAGTTTCCAGGTTGATTTACCACTGGTTCATAAATGGCCCTGTTGACTGTAGTAATAATGGCCTTTGAAATAGCTACTTTCCTTTGCCTGATTCTCAAATCAGTGAGATGAGGGCTGGGTAGATTGAGCAGAAGGTATGACATTCAGTTTCCAAAAATACGAAAAGCAGGTTCCTACAACAGGCTTGTGTCATAAACTGCAAACAGAAGTCAGCCCTGCAGGTGGGACTGGACACGTGAAGAAAGCATTCTCAGAATGCAACAGATAGTGGCATTCTACCTTTGCACTTCACCCAAAAAGTCTTTTTTCTCTATCAATTTTTGGTAAGTTCACCAGAAAAAGTATTTTTCCCTATCCATTTTTTGGTTGATAAAGGCTTTATTGATAATCAATTTAAATCAAAGCAGAGCCAGTAAATAATAATAGACTTTGTGAGCACCCAAGGAGCCAAATACTCAGCGGAGAATTCCTATGAAATGTTCCTGAGTTCTTCATTAACTTAAACCAGAGAGTCTCTGGTACCGAAGGTATCATTCAAAAGAATGTAGGAAACCAAAAAACCAAAAGGCAGAATACGTGTGCAAGCAGATACCTGTCAAGTGGCACACTTTTTGAAAATCTCCAAGACCTTTTTTAAGAACAGAGTAGTACTAATTTGTTTAGAGTCTTTCTTCTCCTTTTTTTCCTCAATGAGACCAAGTCTGTACTATGAAAACAAGCCAGCTGCCAAATAACCCAGTTCATCAAGGCTGCCTCCACCATTCTGTGGGGCTGTGGTGACTCTGGTGACTCAGATCATTCAGAGCAGATGCTGAGTAGTTCCTAACCGCACCTGTGTGTTGAAGGAGGCTCATTTAATAGGCTTCCTTCTGTGACTGGCTGTGAAAATAATTTGTGTTTTCATACGAGTTATCAGGCCTGACTGGGGAAGAGAAGGAAGAGCTGCCTTTGGCAATGCAGGAAGTGGTCTGGGGTGCACTGAAGCAACATCACTTAGGTGGGTGCTCTGCGTGCACGCTGGGAGCCCAGGAACCCAGACCTTAGGTTCACAGTTTGGCTCTGCCCAGGCTTCCTACCAAGTTACCCTACCAGCTGCGTATGGTAGAATTATTTAATCGTGGATTCAGTGGCACCATATGAAATTGATTTTTGGCAATTAATTATGAACTTTATTTTAAAGCTGTAGACTGCAAATTTATACCCTACGAAGGGTGGATTCAGACTAAAATTATCCAGTTTGACTTCATAGCATGATCATGCAGATCACTGTGGACTTCCCACTCATCTTGTGTGTGTGAGCAGATCTGGTTGGTAGTGTGGGAAATAAAGTCATAGCAACAAGGATAAAATAATTCTTTTTATAAGTAAAGCATGGCACGTGGGGTGTTCATTCCAATAATCCCAGCTTTCATTGAACAAAGTACTACATTATTTCCTATATTTAAAAAACAATGAAGGAGTGGGTGCTGTGTAGCCACGAGTTTAATGTCTAGGTTAAAATAGCCGACCTCACCAGACAAAAGCACTTCAAGTATCCTCCCAGGAGCATCACATCTTACTTCATAACTAAGGGGTCTCCAGATTTTTTCAAATTATAATTTATATCACAGCCTTTGTAATCTGAATATTCCCCCCTCAAACAAGATAAAACAAAGCAAAAAGTACTTATTCATCAGGATGATTTGGATATACTACAGAAAGTACTTTGAAAATACATTTTCTATTTAAATTCTAGTTTCTACTCTGTTTAGTCATCTTATTTTCAATAACGTTCTGAACATCTCCAGCTATGCCTGACTCCTTTTTGTCCCCTTATCTTTGCTAAATAATCACTAATTTTGCCTTTCTAGCTGAAGAAGAAGTCTTTCTGCTAACCACATATTAGTTCCTAACTAGAATAAAGACAAGCAAGCCTCAAATGGCTGCCTCAAATGGCTCCTGCCTCAAATGGCTGCCTCAGATGGCTTCCTCAAACGGCTGAGAAAAGGCCCCATCACTTAGTGTCACAAGTCAGAGCCAGTGAGCTCCCGTGTCTCTGGAACAATCTTGCTCTCTAATACTGGATAAACAGAATCTTCAAATTGCTTATTAATTTCCAGGCCAAGGAAGCAGAATCATCCTGGTCAGCTAGCAACACAAAACAGAAGGCAGAACGATTACCCTAAGCTCAGCACAGCAGGGCTGCATCTGGCTCTATGACTGGCTGCAAAAATGGGCTCCAAAGAGAGAACCGCTGGGTTACAGGTGGTTATGAACACACCTCGGAGACTGAGGAGGATGCTGAGAACGGTATTTGTTTTCACTCTACCTCATTCCTATATCTGGGGTAAAATACGATGCTGTTCATGTCTTTTTCTTTTAAATCTTTCTGTTTAAAATGTGCTGTCACTAATCAATAAATTTTTATTGAGCATGCCTATCTTTCTAAAACACAAGGCTAGATCGGGAATGAGGTAGAAAGAGATAGCCCCTGCTCTGAGAGCAATTTTTATAGTCTCATTAGAGAATGAACACATAATTAAAAATAGTATGTCAATATTTATTGAACTGTATTTAAAGCAAATTTCTATATTAAATTAATGAACCTCTTCAAAGATGTGTTTGGTTTCCTATCTATTTTAGCATTTGATGATGAGATGATGATTTTTTTCCTCTAAGAACAAAATGAAGTTTCTCTAGGATGAACTTCCCTTTCATTAGAACCACACCATAGACAAGTGGCGTTATTAAAAATATATATATAGACATGTATCTATTATATTAAACTAATAACATTATATATACATGTATATATATACATATATATGCTAGTAGTTTCCAAACTCCTGCCCATATTGTAGAGCAAGTGGCTTGTATCAGCTGCTAATTTAAAGGTTGGTGGTTCAAACCCACCAGTCGCTCTGTGGAAGAAAGTCCTGGAAAACTGCTTCCATTAAGATTGTTGTTATTGTGTGCCATTCAATCGGCTCCAACTCATAAGGCTCCCACGTGACAGAATAGAACTGCCCCATAGGGTTTTCTCAGCTGTAATCATTACAGAAGCAGATCACCAGGCCTTCCTCCTGTAGAACTGCTGGGTGGGTTCGAACTGCCAGCCCCTTGGTTAGCAGTCAAACACTTAACCGTTGCACCACCAGGGCTCCTTCGATAAATATTAGAGCCAAGAAAAACCGTACGGAGCAGTTTTAGTCTGTATAACATGTGGGGTTGCCATGAGTCGGGGGCTGACTGCATGGTAACCAACAACAAAACCAAGAATCCTGATTTGTTTGGTATAGGGTTAGGGCCTTAGTTATCCCGAAGAGCAATCCCAATGATACGTATGACGTGAACACAAATCATACATCTTTTGTGTGTGAAGTTTTCCTCCTTTCATTTTTCCTCTTTCCATTCTTTCAACAGCCATTTCGCTAAGCTTTAGACAGTGGAATTACAAACAGGCATCAGCTAGAGGTTTTGTCCTTAAGGAGCATAGAGTAAAGTGAGGGAAACGGGCAGGTAAACGCAAAAGAGAACCGTGTTGTGCTACCTGACTGAAGAATGCATAGAGCACTAGGGGGCAGGTAGGAAGGCATCTGCGGTAGACTGTGGGGTCACAGAAGGCTTTCCAGAGGAGATAACGCTCAAATTGAGACTTAAAGGTAAATGGGATTTAGCCAGTTGGAGGAGGAAAACAGCACTACAGGCATCATTTCTATTAATGTAAATTTAATGCATGTTGATAACTACTTAGGCCACTTACCTTTCTCCGTAAGTGACGCTGAGCTCATCCAGAACCCCACTGAGTTTAACCTGAAGTTCTTTGAGAACAGTACTAGCTTCAGGATCTAGCTGCAGAGAGACCACAAACAATATTACTTTGGAGTTCTGAGAAAAATGCACTTTCTTACAAGCATTTCTTAGAAACAAATTATGTTTGTCTTACAAGCATTTTGCCTATTATAAGGTAAACTTCAAACAATATAACACACATACCATTTTTTCTTTCCTTTTCTTCCTTTTTTTTTTTTTTTCATCTTTGAAATCAAGTGCAAAAACATCTCCCAGTTTAGGAAATTGTAAAGAAACAAGGAAGGTTCTTCTACATGGAAAAATTAACTGAAAGGCATAAAAAAAACCCCATGGCTGTCGAGTAAATTCCGATTTATAGCAACCCTATCGGACAGGGTAGAGCTGCGCCACAGAGTTTCCAAGGAGCACCTGGTGGATTTGAACTGCCAACCTTTTGGTTAACAGCTGTAGCACTTAACCACTACACCACCAGGGTTTCCCTGAAAGGCATAGTGTGCATATAAATAAGAAACTCGCCAAGCTGGATAGCAAAGCCTTTGTTGGTTACAGCAACGGGATGCAAACATGACAAACTATCTTCTAGAACATGATACTTTCATAACTAAGGAAACGTAACATGTTGTATGTTAGTTGAATATATGTGCTGCTTCAAGGTGTGTTCCAATCTTTAATATGCCTGTAAATAAATAGGCCAATTAAAAGTTTAAAAAATTGGTAAAAAAAAAAATTTTGAGTATTGCATTATGCCTTGCTTGAAGGTGTTTTCCTATTTTCCTATTGAATTAAAAGTAATAAAACAAATTATCCAAGTACTCCAATGCTCCTCTTGGAACGATAGGCCTGGTTTCTCTTTGTGGATGCCACTTTGCCATTCAAGATGTAAAGTTTCACATTGTCTTTTTCTTTTATTTTCCTTTAACCATTCAAGTATTTACAGCTTGAAGATAAGTTAATTAGCAAATTTGAGGGCAAAAGAAAGATTAATTAGATGAGGTAACCAGATGACTTAATTTGATGCTTGTTCTTGCAGTGTTTTAAGTTCTTCCTTAAAAGCCAACTTTTCTTTTTGTCTGATTTCAGCTCTTAGAATAATGTTAATCAATATTACAAGAGAACTTATACTATAAATAAACCAAAAAACCCAAAAACTCCGACTCGTAGCAACCCTATAGGACAGAGTAGGACTACCCCATGGAGCTTCCAAAGAGCGGCTGGTGGATTTAAACTGCTGACCTTTCGGTTAGCAGCTGAGTTCTTAACCACTGCACCACCAGGGCTCCATACTATAAATAAATACAAGCGAATAAGTAAACACACCAATCTATTAACTTTGCATGATTTATTTTTACAGTTAAAATGAAGGACCAACACATACTTTATCATGAATTTTATAAAAACATTTCCTTTTTACAAATTATGTTTTGGCAATTTAGTTGTCAAAAAAAATGGGTTATAACAGATGTATCAAGCAGAGAGAAATTCAGGGAAAGGGCGATTTGGAATATTTTTGGGAATGTAAGTCAATCTTCCTTGCAGCTTTTGGAAACTCAGTCTCATACCATTAGTACCCAAAGTTCTTGCCTCAACTGGTCTACTGTTGAAAAGAAAGGCGATGGGATTAAGCAAAGTTTTGGGAGTAGAACAAATGGAAAGATGACTTAGTGTTAAAAGAGGGAATCTAAACTGGACACCAAATAAATCTGGGAGCCAGTCTAGGACCGAGAAGTATCCCTAGGAGTAGACACAGGGCGTAAGTCCTATAATCCTCCAAGAACATTTTCTAATGCTAAGCAACTGTTCGGAAGAAGTATTATTTACCATCCTCAGCAAGTGAATAGCCCTAGGTTGTATTTATGTGACCTCAGACATTGGAATGGAAATCAAAAATCACATATGGCGTCTGAGTATACCTAGTATAACAAACCAGTCCTTGATGTCAGTTGCTAGTCGAATCCAGGTGATTTCAGGATCGGTTAGTTTCTGCCCCTCTCAGTGACAGCCAGTGTGATTCTGCTGGACTCTTGTTTATCTTTTTTCTGTCCCCATCATCAGTTGGGTTCACACTTCTTGCCCACAGATACCCAGGTCATCACAACAGATAGACACGGCTCTGTTGTTGTTGTCTGCCATCCGGTTGGCCCCCCAACTCATGGCAACCCACGTGTTACAGGATAGAACTGTCCCAGGGATTGAAAATTTGAATATTCTTGAGTCTTATACTTTCTGAGAGTTCCATGCAGCTACAAACATATATAGAGCAGTGATTCAGAAGAACAATTAGATGGTACTTAACAAACAAACAAACAAAACAACCAGATCTGAGGCTGACAGTCATTTAAACACAAACTAACTAACCATGATTCCCCAACCCTTTACTGAAAAAATATATGTGGACTGCTCATTCCCAATCCTAGAGAACCCCACAGGCTGGATGTTTTTAGTTTCATTGTCCTGCTTCTGCCCTATTATGAATTTTAACTTGATTTCACTTGCATAAAGATGTTGCGGAATAAGAAATAAGAGAAGAAATCCTCCCATGTGGTTTTCTTCAGGCTCCTTGGAGAATGTTGTGGAGGAAATAAGAGTTAGCTCTCTACCCACAGTCTACCACTTCCAGAAAATGGCTCTGAGAGTAGGCTTTTCTTGAGGAAATAGCTTTGCTTCAATTTAAAATGCATATTTCATTCTCCTATTTAATTTGATGTACACGTTGTACATTTTTGTTCACCTGTTAGGATAATTATTTTAAAGTCTCGTACAAAAATGTCTAGACAGGTCACTTGGATGAAGCTATGCTATTTTCTCATGAAATTATTTTAGTACATCTGAGGTATTTTGTGAATGGAAATTTCTTATCAAATAATTGGTCATTTCTTGAAAATCTGAAGCTGTCAAACTACATCCGTTTAAACATTGGATGACAGCTTCCATTTCTGGGTAGAAGTCTATGTTTCCAGGTAGGCACACAGAATGCCTCTGCCTATCATGCGACCAGGCCAAAATTTTTCGTGTTAATTAAGTACTTAACATTCATTTGATCCAAATCATATCATTAAAATAGGTGTAGTAATTTTGGGGCCAATATGCCTGGCGGTTGCAAATTGCAGTCTGTTGTAAAAATGAGAATAAAAAGCATAAATACCACACTCATCTAATTATAAAACATCTCTTTAGGCAGAAAAATGACTAATTCCAGAGTTCTTCTGCATTTCTTGTCCAGCAAGTCTTTATTCCTGCAAACTCTCTAAAGTTTGTAAAAAATAATCATTTGGGATTTGAGATTTCATTGCCTAAATCACCAATGGCATATTTTACAAATTATTGGCTACTTTGGAAAAGCATATAGCTACACATTTTTTTCACATGAAGATTTAAAACCTAACTTAGCTCTACAGGTAATATGCTATTAAATTTAACTTGTATTGTTTTGGTATTGCTATGCAGAGTTATTGTTAAAAACAAAAGAAAAACTTTCAAGCATTTAAAAGTCAAAATTACTGAAGTTTAATCTAAATTACAAACTGAATTAGCATTTGTACCTAAAAACCTGGCTTTCACAAAATAATTGTTTAATTAATACAGTAAAATAAAATAAATGGCTCCATGTAAAGAGGAGTATACTCAATAAAAATTTAGAAATACTGAGTCCAATTCTGAATTTACACTAAAACTCTCAAAATAGATTTCATCCACGTTCTACAAAACATTTGGGAATTCCAAAATCTCGGCTGGCCAAGTGTGGTTCTAATGATCAGAATAAACCATAGTCACATAGAGGTGGCATCTGAGCTTTTACATCGTTGAGATATTTTACACCAATGAGCTGCGGTAATATAATTAGCTTGTCTGGGAGTGCTAGCTAGCAGGCAAAGTCTCCTTTAAGTTATTTTTTCTTAAGGCTTGCTTTTTCTACTTTTCCTTTAAAAAGCAGTTCACTTATCACTTTCTTTTACAAATCTTCTCCCAAACGTTATTTGCCCAGGCAGTTAGAAGCTCTAGTGACTTGACTATCGGCACTTTTTACTATAACTGTGTATAAAATGTTCCCTTCTAATTGTGCTCTTAGAAGTCTGTCTCTTCCAAGGGACTCTGTCTTAACTTTTTATCCGCAGTGTCTGTCCCAGTGCCCTGCATATCTAGGCATTTACCAAATGTTTGAAGTGACAATAAAAAGAAACATGAAAGGATTATCTCAAAGAGGCAGTTCTAAAATCCAAAGTGCTTCTTCTCCTTGCACTGATACCTTGTACTGTAGATTAATAGAATATTTTTACATTTGAAATATTTCATTCCTTTAGCAACCATATATCCTGGAGTTTCCAAGATAGTTCTGATTACAAATATTTTGTCTCATTGCCAGACCATGTCAGATCACATCCTGACATTATTTTTTGGTTCAGAAAATGTGGTCACTATATCTACCCTTCGTATTTTGTATTTGTTTTTTTTTTTTAAGCACAAAATCCTTCCCTAATGGACCTAAAAGGAGTGCACGTTATTTCAGTTACTTACAACAGCAATTGTTAAACCAACCATCAAGCTTTTGCTAGATATACAACCTACGGGTTGGAAAGTGATATTTAAACTCTTCAGATAGTTTAATACTCTCAAAAACTAAAGACTCTGTATGGAAGAAGTTGATACTTTTTAGTGTGAATTTCGTTCCTTCTCCAGAGTGTTCATTACTTCCTTATTTCTTTTATCTTTTTCTACAGGTTACTAGGCTCCTATCCTCATGTTTGACTCATCTGTATTAAGACTGCATTATCTGCTCAGTTAAAGAAATGGATATCAGGGAGGAAGATCACTCCCTTGCCCTCAAATCCACAGGCTCTGAAATTTGATCATTAACACAAAAAACAGAAAATAAGCTAGATAACTAGGATGTTCTAAAAATTAAACAATTATGGTCATAAAAATAATTCACCAAAAGAGTAAAAAGAGAACCTACAAACTGGGAAAAATTTTTTGGCTGTGACATATCCAACGAGGTCTAATCTCTAAAATCTATAGGAAAATCCAACACCTCTACAACAAAA